ACCGCAAATTAGAACAAGCAAATCATTTTCAAAAAATAAAGTAGAGAATTTCTTATGAAAAAACTTGGAAAAAAAAGAAACTAAAAATGTCCACTTCCGTTCAACATTTTTTTCCTTCTAATGCTGCAATTGGTTGCTGACGACAACTTGGAATGAAAAATGCACGCGCTTCGTCCAATGCAAGAAAAAAAACGTTTAAAAATTCTCGCGACGAGATTTGCGTTTGCAACGAGAGAATACGAGAAGAGTCACCAAACGACTTGATTCACTATTCACGCTGCTTCAGTAATAATTCATTTATATCGCTCTGTCTTCACTTCCACCTGCTTTTTGCCTTGTTATCTGGCCTCGTGAAATGTCTCTTGCTGTATCTTTTATTCATTATTTTCGTTGTCAGTGCTTTTTTAATAATATAAATGGTTCATAATTATTCTTCGCAAAGCCGTACAATTTCACTTTTTTGCATACACTCTTTTTTTTCTTTCCATCTCTTGCGCTCCCACTCTGTACACTCAGCTCTCAACTTTACAGCGGCTTATTCCAGAATAGAATGGACTTTTCTCGTTCTCCAGGTCACACGATAAAACGTGGAAAAAAACAAACACGAGGAAAAAGTCGAAGCAGCACCGACAATTTATTCAGAATCTCAAATTATATTAATACCATTTAGTGTTCATTCTTTTCTCTCTCTCTCTCTCTCACTCACTCATTCTATGTTCGAGATAATGCTTAGCATTACTGTGACATGCTTTATGCTGCGCTCGCAAACACCGGAATTGAATCTAGTTCAATTTCTTTGAGTAGTCGGTGTAAGCTTGATATCTTTTTTCTGCCTCGTTCTTTCTCTTTCTCGCCATCTTATGTGGAACTATTTCATTTCATAAGTTGCACACAAAATAGAAAAAAATTAAAATGAGAAAGAGAACAAGGTAGGTTTATTTTGAGTAGTAAGTATAGTTGTTTGTTTCAATTCTAAAGAACTTAGTCAAAAGATAATATCTTTTTTTGGGGTTGTTCACCATTGGACACGAGAGTGCGCGCGAAAGAATTATTCTGCACAGAACAACGGAAGAGCGAAGAAAAACAAGAGAAGGAAGAAGCAGAAAAAAGGGTTCTAGAGAATTCAACCCGCGGATGTTGAGCAATTTAGGAAATTGAAGAGGTTTATGCGTGTCCTAGCTACCGGTAACTATGAACATGTTGCACATTACGGTCTCGTGCACAATGTATCTTGCCCCCGCTATCACCGTCTCCTTCTCGCATGGCGAACAGCAAATGGCAATGAATAGCTTTTGCTTTTACCCTAATGAATATATTTTCCGGGCATCATGCACAAAAAGAAAAAAAAATGAAAAGAAAAAACACACGGCGATTAATAATGCAACGAAATGGAAAAAAGAAAAGAGTTGTGCAAGAGCTCATATTCATGTTGCTACGCTTCTGAATCTGCATTAACTGAAGTGCAAAGCATTTGCATGGCCTGTTTACGTTTAAACGGATTTTCATTTTAAAAAGCGCAACTCGATCTTGAGCTCTCGCTATTGGATTGTACGAGTGTGCTTCAATTGCAGCACAAATGAGATTCGGGCATTTTATTTTTTGATCGTTTTGGAAAAGAATGACCTGTCTGTATTCATTCATCGTGTCAACGATTAGACGACCACAACAAATCCACTCGGTCACATCGTCATCATCATCATCATTGACACATTAAACATGATTAAAATAGGTAACTTATATTTTATGTTAACATCATCTTGTTAGCTACTGTTCGTCCACAAGTTACACGAATGAAAAAAACAACAGTGATCATTTCTACGACAAAAATGAAAACACTAAGAAACTTCGATAAGTAGTTTATGTTGCTGAGAAGTGAGAAAAACTGATATTTTCCAGTTTGTAATACAGCAATGAACGGCTGCAAAATAAGTTTTGTAATGATAGAAGAAGAAATTGCTGTTGTGGATGTATACTATGGCGTGGCGTGGCATGGGCAGGATCTCTTATTTCCACGTGGCACAAAAACGGTCTCGGTCTCGGGCTGATGATGTAATGTGCTGGTGCATTCAGAGTGCATAAATAACATTATTTTAATATTCCTTGTAAAAGAAATCATATCAGCGTGACAAGCAGCAGAAAGGGAGCGGTTTCATGGTCGACAAGCAGCGACAGAAGAGAAGAAAAAAAACGAATATGAAGCCAACGATGATTCTCTATGTGTAGCTCTTATCTGCCAAGCATGAGGGCAGACGAAGTGAACGAGAAGAAAAAATGTGAGTTCGAAAGAGAGCGAGAGTGGGAGAGAGTTACGTTATGAGACAGAGAGTGAGAGCTTGATTTTAGTGATACTTATGGTTGCTGATGCCAGAGTATTGCCGTTAATGTGGCTGATGCAACGTAATTATTCTGTAATGCAGATTGATTATACACCGGAAAATTTCTTGTTGCCGTTGTTTCCGTTCCCGTTCCCGTTCGTTTCACTCCTTTCATTCGTGGTTGGGCGTGCTGTTTGGTGCTATAATTACGGTAGTTGCTGTTGTTGTCGGCTCGACAGTTGCGCTTCTCGCAGCATTATTTCGTGCCATATATTATGTGTGGAGAGAGTGCATCAAGTTTGTTTTGTTTAAGTTTTTGCTGAACTGCATTGTTTATTTATTCATTTCCATTTTTCCGTGTGTGCGTTGGGGACAGGCCGCACAGGGTGGAAAATCAAGCAAACACTCAAAAATGAACGGAGAATGGAAAAAAAAGATCATCAGAAACTTGTTCATGAATTTAACATACGCAAAACTGTTGCAAACGTACTTCTGGTTGCGACGGGGACAGAAAGCACCCGAAAGGGGCGAGAAAGAGAAAGACATCACATCTATGTATGGTGAGTGTAACGAAAATGCTTGACACTTTCAAACGGAAAACCCTGAAGCACCGTGATTGTTCTCAATTGTACGATGCACATACAACGTTGCCAACATACTCGCACACAACGCATTTCCTATGCGAAGAGATGGATGCAATGGAAATGTGGAATAACCACTTTTTCGCCATTCCCTTGACGCAGCTGAAAAACGGCAACGGTTTTCTCTCTCTCTCTCTCTCTCTCTCTCTCTCTCTCGTTCCGTTATTTTTGTTGTTTGTTCGTTTTCACTCGTGAGTATTTTATAATTAGTTTTTAATTAATGAAGAAGTCTTTTTCGTTTGGCTTTAATTATTTCGGTGTTGCATTTCAAGCCGCCGAGAAAAAAAAGAGACAACAACGGCCATTCGATGGAATTAAATTTAAACGGATTTCTGTCACGTTTCTCATGCTCTACCATTTTCAATTGGTTGTATTCGGGTTTTTTTTCTGTCTTTTTTCGCTTTAGATTCATGGGTGAAATTTTAAGCACACTTGATTTATTATTGCCGAAATTCATGGCATTGAATTGGTTGTGTCGTGTGCGTTTTGATGCCTTCATTCAACCGTTGAATTTCAACGCAGAGCAGTGAATTCCAATAAGACGATCACTTGAAGCCACCCCACATGGATTCCGTTATTCAAATACAGACAATTCGGTTTTCAATTTACAAACATTGAAATCAAATAAATAATTAAAAATGTACAAACAATTCGTGAGACTGGCTATCCTACGGAAAAAAAGCACTGACGAAAACCACGTACACACCGACAAATAAATGCAAACTTGATGAGAAAAAAGGAGATTAAGATGTTACTGAATTGAAGCGAATAAATATTTATTCCATGTCTGTAAATTCGAATCCAATGAGGTGGCTGACAAAAATACCGTGTAATTAATTATTCGCTCGTTTCCGACTATCTCTATCTCACACACATACAATTCAACCATGATCGCCCTCAAACACTTGTCTGCCCCTTGATTACTATTGCTCAACGCCTTTTATTTCACATTCCCTGCTCAGATCACCAATTTCATTCGCAACTTGTCTATCATTCCATTACACCTCACCCATTCGAAACGTTAGCCGCTTTCATCACCCGAAATGATTAATTGAATTTACTCAACTGCACCAAATTGAAATTGACGGCCCAAGAAAACCATATTAATTTCATTTTCCCCATTTATTTAAACACATTTCTATTTATTCAAGGTGATTCGTTACGATAATGACACCAAATTGTGTTCATGCTCATGGAATTTACAACATCTTCTCGTTGTTTTTCTTTCCTTCTTTCCATCTTTCAAACACCAAAGAAATCCGCAAGTCAAATTAATTAATCCCATGCGAACACTCAATGGTAATTTCTCTTCCACGAAATCTCTTTTCGATTCGGTTTACTATATCTTAAGTGGAAAAACTTTAATCCCTCTAAATCAAATCCAATGAATTTTCTTTGTAGAAAAGTTTAATTTAGGAGTACCATTTGAATTTTTATTTATTTATTAGTTGATAATGATGATGGTTTCTTTCGCCTTCTCGTAAAATACAAAAAAAAGGAACGAATGGGATGGAAATGGGTTTTCATTTGATAAAAAAACATCCCGTATTCATGATAAGAAGATTATGGGAATGCAAAACAGAATGGCACAAAAATATACATTATTTTTAATGAAAATACCGAAAATTCCGCAATTTTCCAGATTAAATTACCAATATACAACCAAAACGTTGGTGCAAAAATAAAATGGTTTTTTTTTTGAAAATGCCAATGAGATGCGAATATCATATTCGAACATATTAAACGTCGCGAAATATTCCATTATAATAATTATTTGTATGTAAAAAAATCTATTTTCACCAAATAAATCACATCAGCAAAAATCGGCTATGGTGATTCTTATTCTGTGTCAATTTCATCGATTTCTCTTTTAACTACGCGAGTTCACTGCATTTCTGTTGTTCTTTCAAAACAACAACAGAAAAAACGTCCACTTGGAAAATGTGTGTTGAATTCATATTCAAAGCGTGTGCGCGTACGAACGTACTACCAAATTTTCGTGGCTAAATTAATTGTATTATTCTATTTGCTTGGTTTTACTTACAGATTAAGTGCCCAGTCCAAGAATTTATGCAAACCATTCTCGAGCTCCTTGATTTGGAACCAATTCGATTTGAATGCCATCATGTACGGTGCTTTGTTTTGTTCGTAGTGCCGTGCGAAATCCTCTTGAAGCCATTCCGACACTTCATCGGCATCGTGATTGTGCAATACGCATTGATCCAAATACGGGCAATGTCCTCCTTCGTAGCTTTCGATGTAGTGAGCATTCATTGGGACTTCCCAGATACCAGGGAACTGTTTGCTGGGACAACTGGGGTTAGGATAATGGTATAATTTAGTATTCTTAGTGTTGAATTGAATGAATTTTTTTCTTAAATTGACACTAGTACGTACGTTCCACTTTTGCATTCGTGGGGAATTTTATAATCGAGCGTGTACGGCCACACCGGAAATTTTTGTGGTTCAACAGCAATTGAACTATCATAGATGTACCCGAAATCCTCGATGACCTGATATATATGTATTGTGGGGCGCGAGCATTCCGAACAAAAGCCAAACCAGTATTCATTCCATTATGCGAGTGCATGCCACGGGAACGGAGAAATAAAAGAAAATAATTGAGAGAACGTATTATTGAAAATTCAATGAAAACGAGTAAAACAAAAGGGCTTAAAATAAGCGATGAGAGAGCGAGTGTGTGTGTGTGTTTGTGTGTGCTTCAAAGGCAAAAGCAACTACAACAACACTGGCCACATTGTTTCGGTTGCATGTGAAATTCAACAAAGTTCCACAATTCACGTATCCGTTCAAGCTCTCAATTCATTTACTTTGTTATTTTTATTAACTGTATTAAAAGACCGTATTCGTCGAGCTGCTGCTATATCTTGGGCTCGCTTCCTCGATTCGGTTTCGTTTTCAATGCACGGCATGAATAAACCGGTGAATTTGTGTGCATTTATGTTATCTGTAGCCACCGTTGCAACGGGATGAGAATTTTTAACACCGAAACATCTCTACTCTATATGGGATGGATTTCATTCATAGAACGAAACCAAGAACTGAACAGATAACGAGGAGACCACTACCGTTGCCCATGACGACATCGACAACTACGACTACAAATGATGGAAATTGTACAGCTGAAAATACGTACCTTGTATTGTGCATTTCGACCTGGTTTCAAATATGGTGCTCGCATACCGACTACATCGTTTGTCGAAACATTTGCAAAATGTCTCAATATCTCTCGCATACCAATCATTTCGCCAACCCATTCTTCATAACCTTTATCCTGTAAGCCTTGCTGCAATGATATTGTCTCGGTAGCGATTTCATGCTGGTCAAATGCCAATGATTGGATTTGCTGATAGTTGCTGTTCGCATCATCATCATCATTTCGTGTGTGTGTGTGTGTGTGTGTGTTTGGTGTGTGTGTGTGTGAGTGAACACGTGCAAAATTCAACAGCGCCAACGGCACGGTATCGCCATCATTTCGTATAATTGCCCCCAGCGCACACACAGAGTAAGCAAGGAAACAGTTTGTATGATGAGTGTATGTGTGTGTATATGTCGAGTATTTGGTTGAATATTGTCGTATCATTCCATCAGTCAGCGAGCAGGAGTCAAATTTCATGCGGAATTAAGGATAATAGAATCAAATTAGAAATGCAAGTCAAGAGAAGCGAAATGCTTTTTGTACAATTTGTATTCAATTTTAAGGAAGCAAAAACAGTTCCAAGCTCCTTCAGCGTTCATTTTGTGTGTGTGTATTTTCGAGCTCACAAACTTTTGTATTATCTCAAAATTGGCATTGTATTTATTTTAATTGAATGTCGCAGCGTTGAACATTTTCCAGCATCACAATTTTGATAAAAGTCATTTTGCCGGAGAAAGAGCGTTTTTTGGCCAATTGTTTTTCTTTCTCGCTATTCCGCTTTCATTGACCATTTTCTATGCGGTGAGATTTAAAATTCGTTTTCATAAAATTCGGCGCATTTTGTTAAGCGACGAGATTTCCAAGTTTTCATGCAAATAAATACACCGATATGACCAAATAATCCACAATATCATTTCCCATTCTTATTCTAATATCATTTATTATTATCATCATCATCATACGAGTACCTTTTCTAATTACAAACGCATCGTCTAGACGCTCGACTACGAAATGCCATGTGAACAATTGTTAACATTTGGTCTGAATTGTATGGTGTAGAGTGTGTGAAAGAGGATTCGCATTGTTTCGAGCCACAGTTACCTGCAGCTGCCACATTTCATTATGTGCGCACTCTGCCAAACAGCTCTCTTTCTCTATCTATATATTGGTATATATTGGGTTGGAAGGCGACGGATTCAAAAACATGAACCAAACTTTTCGTTTTCAAACGAATCTAACGAATGAAAAAACACATACACACAGCTCGTTCCTATTTCATTAATTGGACTTGAGAGCGAAGTGAGGCTCTTTGTTTTTCGATTTTTATTTTGTAAATGCTCTATTCCACATTTTGATTGAAAAGATTTTAATTAGGCAAACTTTAAATTACGGTATTAGTTTTGCAAACAGAGACGAACGAGAGCGCTGCTTGCATCACCTGTGTCTGTGTGTTTGTGTTTGAGGGAGTTTGATGCGATAAAATCAAATGATTTATAGTTTTTTTTGGGGATGAATGAGATGCTCTCTGCATCGCACAGATAATGACGATCGTTTTCAGCATAGAGTTTGCCATTTAATTCGATTGCAAAACTCAACGCCAAACTAATGAAAATTAATTTATTTCTGCATCAATAGCTCTTGCGCTGCATTGCATCTTTAATAAAATTAAAATCATTGGCCAAATAAAGTTTCCACAAAAACCAAATGAATTCCGTTGAAAGTTCTCTCTCCCACTTTTAATTCACCGTATTCATGACAATAAATGGAACAAGTTCTCTTCGATTCGATTAGCTTTTAATCAAAGCTATCTAACTGGCAAAATGTTACCGTCAAAAGAAGATTCAAAAGATTGCACAAAGAAACTTTGACTGTGATTGACCCTTTCATTGCAGCACACATTGTGGTACGGCAGCATGAATGATCTAACTCTGTAAATTACCTGTATTCATGAGCAATAAAGAAGGTTCCTTTGATATCACAACCGTTTGGATTCTTTCGTTTGCCGTTGAACACTTTCTTGTAGTGTTCGTAGTTGTTCAAATTGACAGCACCATCGAAAGTCAAAAGAATGATTTGTGGAATCTGCAAAAAAAAGAGAAAATGAAATGGTTAAATAAAATGGATTACGACCCAAAAACGAGACTTGCAGGGCGAATAATATACAGTATATCAAGGGATCAAAAGCGGGACAAGTTGCAGCGAGAACATTTGAATTTTGAACAGATTGAAAGGCTACGGCGTCTGAAAATTAACTTGTCAAGTTCGACTGTGAAGAAGCGTGGATGCTGCGGCTGTTCGATATTTAAAAAATTCTTTTTAATTGCAGCGCACATCGAAAAACGATGCGTTGAGCGAACGAAAATTTGTCAACCGGTTGGAGCAAAGTTATGTACACAGTTGAGTTAGAATTATTTACCAATATTCACAAGCTTTTGCCCTGCGTTCGTAGTGTTATTGTCTGGGGGCAAAAAATGGTATCAATTTGTCCTAATTCAACTATTTTGAACGATTTTTCCATTGTTTCTTCTAATTCCATAAGTTTTTGCTAATTTTTTAGTTTTTTCTTCCACACATTTAGTATTACCAATGCATTCCTTATGGAGATTTTTGTTTTGTTCATTTATTGTTGTTTGTAAACAAATCTGCCTATCTTTTTGCATTGTCTCTGTGTATTTCTTATGGACATATACTATGTACAGTGCAATGCGTTGATATTAGCAGACTTGTTGACAAATAACGGTAAATAAACAAAACAACCTCCGTAAGGAAATGTATTGGCAATGCTCAATGTATGGAACAAAAAAGTTTCAGTCTCTCTAATTTCTGCTAATTTTGCTATTTTTAAACGAAATATCACTATTTTTTGAATCGTGTCTGTCCCCTAGGTTATTGTTGTTTTCTTTATTTGCTTCGTCTCATTTGTGACGATTGACTGTTGCGAATACGTCGAATTTTATTCACCGTATTTGCATGCATTCGAAGCATTATTCAACGCATTGACGCGTATTGATTCGAATTCGGTAAAATATGCGCTTATTTACACCATGTTAACTGGTATACTAAAGGAATGGATGTGTCAACTGTACCAATCGACACTTTTACCCACGGTCAAGAAGTTCTATGGCAACGATAATTCAAAATGGCTCCTGTTGGAACACAATGACCCTAACCGCAAGAGCGGTTGGAAGATGGAAAATGTGTAACGGATGGAAGAGTGAAAACGAGGATGATCAGATGGAATGGACGCCATAATCTCCAGACTGCAATCCGATAGAAAACGTTTGGAAACTTACAAAGGCAAGGCTTAAAAGAAATGTTGAATGTGGACGAGACGTCACACTCATTTAGTACATTTTAGTTTGACAGCTAGCGAATACACTTTTTACTTTTGACACTTACATTCATTTCGTTTATACCGCTACAACAGAACAGTCATTAAAGTTATATGTACAGTTGTACACCCATTGAATTTCACAACATTACATCATTCCTTTGTTTTATTTCATAATTAGTTTCCAGATTATTATTGAAGTTATTTCGATCAAGGCAAGTTAAATATCATACGGATAAAGGATATTCTACAAGAAAGTCATTCCAAGAACAGATTACACCCGTGTGCCATCCACCACTTGTATTATTTTTACATTGAATGGCGCTCCAAGATCTTCACCATTCATAATACACGCTTAATACGAATAAAAACGCCTTATGAAAAATGGCATAGGTTTTCAATGGTACTTTGAAGTAGTCAACCCATTTTCTTCATCGCCAATGGAATTCACTTTCTCACACTTATGCTTAAAATTTGAGTAAAATTATGCCTTCAATATGTGCTGGCGTTATCCGAAAAGGAGTTGAATGGATTAAACACAAATTGTTGATGTAGTAATAGCTAAAGGTCCAAATAAAATGCCTCAATATTCAAATTTGATCATTCTTTTCTTTTCTTCAAATTCTGTCCCGCTTTTGATGCTTCGATAGACTGTATGTATACATACAGTTCGTGTTTTGAATCAAGATTATCCTGTCGCGATTTCTGTTTACATAACATAACAGGCCAAAAGAATATCAATTTATTACGAAAAACATTGGCAATGGAAGAAAAAAAGGAAATGAAAATCCATTCATATTGCCAACCAGTTCGGCAGAATCCGCTTTAAAAGCGGGCGTACGCGTGTCTGCGATTAGTGTTTAAGGTGATCAAGTGAAAGCAAAACACATATGATTTACAAAGACCGCGAAAAGAGTATTTCGAAGCAGCAAATAATGCAATCCAATTAATTGAATCAGCTTAAATTAAAGACGAAGCTGAATGGAAAAAATCGGAAAAAAAGCAGAAGAAGTTTGCAATACAAATACGTTCTATTGTTGCTGTCATTGATTGCTGTCATTGATAGTTGGCAGTATATTTATAAAGAAGTTTCATAGTTCAGCGTGTACCGTCGAGATGTCGCTTAAATATAGCATAAACATGTGCTCCATATAAAAACATAGGCAAATTTTATCATTGAATAAAAAATAGCGAAGTATGGCACCGTACAACACATGTTTTCGCACAAGAGAAATTCCAATTGCGTTTGTTAGAGGACCTCAAAACAAACACTTCTGCATCATTAGAATGTCCGGAACCACGTCTAGATTTTTTTTATCGATTTCGGTAGTTCTTCTGGGAACCTGAAAAATCAGCGGAATTTTCTTATACTCAAAACATCGTTTTTTGCACATTTCTTGGCTGGTATTTATTGAAAATGATTAAAACGATTGAAACTACAATAATACATTGAATTCAACCTATCTGGTGAGAGCTATGAGGCAAAATGTCGAGAAAATAGTCTATTTTTCCAGTTTTTCGACCAAAGCTCGAGCAGTATACTTTTTTTTCACTTACTGTGTTCGGCAATATTGTAGCCAGAGTATAGCTGAGCAATACTCCTGAACATATCAACTCGAAAAATCAACACCCAATCCACTTTATTGGCTCAAAATCACTTTTCGCTATAAAACGGTATTTTTGTGCATTTTCGAAGTCCTGAAACTTCTCAACTGCTTAAAATAGAGCAATAGTGTTTGAAGAAACTTTTTAGTACTCCTCAAGAAATTTTCAGGCCAATTTTGTTTTGAGGTCCTCTAACAAACACAATTGGAATTTCTCTTGTGCGAGAAAAAAAGTTGAGATTTGTCGAACGGTGTGGTCAAGTAATTGACGCTTGCGTGCATCTGAATGCCTTCAAAACAAAGTGGTCAGATAGTAGATATCAATTGGTGAGACCTAGAAGAACACATAGACCAAGAGCCCACCGTACAAACAGCTTTTTTTCTTGAGTGAGCTTCCAATGTAGCTGTCATCATAAACTTAACGAACGTTGAATGTCAGTGCAAGCGATGGGTGCGTTCAATGCCTTCAGAACAAAATGATTCGAAGTGTAAATCTCTTAATTCTATTTTTTAAGCAAACCGCTCACTTTTCGGTGCAGATATTTTATTTATAAGTTAGTTAGATCCGAATGAAGATTTAATACAAATTTCTGCGCGTAGCGCGAATTAAAGCCGCGAATAAAGCGATCCGCCCAATTTCATTGAAACAAGTGGTACATTTCTGTTAGAGTATTGTGGGAAGATGTTAATTTTATGAATTTCTGCAGTGCACAAGAAAAAAAGTTGTTTGTACGGTGGGCTCTTGGTCTAACAAGCTTGTCCAACTTCGTAGCAATAAAGAGAAGTGCAACTAATAATGGTTGAAAGAATGTATGTTCATTTTTGGCGGGTCGTCGCGGTTTTTCACAGAACTAATAAGAGATAACAACTTAGTGTCTTCGGCAAATATATAGTACTCAAGGTCCTCTATAACATTTCCGAAGATAGTTATCTCTTATCAATTGGGCGCAAATGATAAGAAAAAAAAACATGCGATAGACCGAAGTTTTTTATTTGCGCCCAATTGATAAGAGATAAGAAATTACTATTTTCGTAAAAGCTTGTGTTCTTCTAGGTCTCACCAATTGATATCTACTATCTAACCACTTTGTTTTAAGGCATTCAGATGCACACAAGCGTCAATTACTTGACCATACTTTGCTATTATTTATTGATAATATGATTAGCATTATTGAACATTATTGAGAATTCCGAAGATTTATTTGGGATTATTTTTGTACTAGATTGCATTATTTGAATTATACAAATCTAGTACTTTCCCCCTTGAGAAGAAGAAGAAGAACAATGTTGATACATAAAGTAAAAACCGAATGATTGTGTAATCATGTGTCAGCTGTGGAATTCACATTCGTTTAGCACGTCTGAATGCCGTTGTATTCCACAGAAAATTCCATTTTTGGGGCTAAAAGTTGAAAATGTCGCTTCGAATGATTATATCGAATCTGCTGAAAGAGACAAAACAAGAGAAAGCGCGCGGGTGTGCTCAGCCGTCCGAATTTCAAAGGGCGTTTTGTATCAAAAGACGCTCGATTGTAGCTGACGCACATACACTTCAGCAAATAACAAACAACAAAGATACACAAACAAACAGAACCGAACGTAATCAAGTTGAAACGCCGATCGGGAAGAGATTCTTCAAGCGAGAGAGAGAGAGTGCTGTATGTGTACATGATTCTTGTAAAATTCAAGTATTTACAAAGATTACATTAATTATTATGATTATTGCACAGTTGTCGTCGTTTTTTTTTCTCTCTAGTCTCTTGCTGTTGTTTATTTTATGAGCCTTTGATGGTTGCCAAACCGCATCGCAGTCGTGTATCGTTGGAACCGAATCATCACCCCACCACCAGTACCACCACCATCGTCGATGTATCGTATTTATATATTCTGTGTTGTCTGGCGTGTTGTTGCTTCTGAAAGTTCAAGAGAAACAACGAGCTAAGATGGTTTATTAACGGAATTATATACGCGATCCAAGACACATTACGGAATGCGTTAGCAGAATGAGTTTTGATTCGAAAAATTATGTAAAATAGCATTAGAACTTGGTAAAGCGGCACATCTAATGAGAATAATCCAATATTGGGCAAACGGAGCGAAATGTTTGCAAAGTGCGTGAGCTGGTGTGTGTGCGTGTGTGCGCGCGCGATTCAGAAGTGCACTTAACCCATTTTAGCTAATTCAATATTTACGATTGAAATACATCGCCGTATCGATGTTACCGAAAATGAGTGCGAGCTGACGAGTGACAGGAGCGGCGTAATTGTGTTTGTGTGTTTGTACACCTTACAAGACTATCGTGTTCTATTCAACAAATTTCGGTTCTTATTTGTCAAACGTTTAACAAAATAAAGGCAAGTACAAACATGTAAACTGTGCGCCGCGTTGAGCTATTGTGCTCAGGCGTTTTTCTTTCTTTCATCGGTGATATAAGTTGTTGGCGATGGCAAAGTACCCGAGTGTGTTTTCGTCAAGAAAAGACAACAGCGATTCGCATAATGTGAAATGATGAAGAATGTCACCATTAACATTTGCGATGGGTGGCGAACGCGTGCACCTCATCAAGGAACACAAGTATCGAAAGTAAAATGCAAAGACGTGCACATTTACTTTGCCATCACGCACACAAATGTCAAAAGTGGAAAATTCTTGAAAGTTTTTCGCAGTGTACACGACGACTCAGCGCCGAGTGAAAGGCACCGTTAGGCAAAGGCGTACAAAAAGTTTTTGCGAACAAAAAAAAAACAACAACAACAACAAATAAAAGCAACTAATGCATAAAATGAGTCGCGAGCTATGTCATTTCATCGGCGGTGTGCTACAAAAGTGTTTGGCCTGACGTTGCGGACGTAGCAGAGATGTGATGCCAGTGTCTTGTGTGCGCGGCGGCACACATGCTCTCGCTAATTATTCATTAATTAGATGGCTTAATTGATGTTTACGCATGCAAAATGTACATAGATCCAAGTCAAGCATTAGACGAGTATACGTTGGCTGCTTGATACCCACGAAACTCCATATCTCCGGCCGCACACACACATACATCCACTGTTCCTTCCTGCTCCCGCCATATGTAATTCTTAATTTCTAATTCACAACATTGCAAAGTAACACACCGGAATATATGTAGATATAGTCAATGATGAATATATGCAACTGTACTCGGTGCCGGTGCCGTTGCCTTTGCTCTCCGAGTAATACATCAGTGTGGCAAAATGTGTGTGTGTGTGTTCAAATCCTGGAAATATGAATTTAATGCGTGAATGTTTATTTAGTGTCTTATTTCGGGTTACGGTCTCTATTGCTACCACACTCTTTCTCTCTATCTTGTGTTGGCGGTGCGCTCTTTCTTGCTGCTTCAAATACAAATATTATTCAGCCATCGCGTGTGCTTTTTTAATATTGCAAGATCATGATGCTTATTTTATTTTGGCACACAGTGTTGCCCATTCTCAATTTCTTGCTCCATTTTCCCTGCCAGCATCAGGTTTAGCATTAGAGCAATGAATTATACGGCGCATTTCATCAGCACAAATCCAATGCGCTTAGGTTTTGTCTTCCCAGAAAAACACTATGCAAATATTAACAGAAAATATGCTGGAAAATTAATTTCTTAATTTCTCTCCGCAACAAAGGAAAGAAAATTATCCCAATTTCACCCATATCCATGTTGCTACTGCCTCATTAAAACACACATTAGTTTCTCTTGTGTGTACAATTAGAACTAAGCTTCGCTCGCGCGCGCGCACACCTACCAACGTCATTATGGGCTAATGAATTGCTCGAAGGGCGGAAATAGCAAGAAGCCTTTTAGCAAATAGACCAATTTTCGAAAATGAAAATTAATGCAGCACAAATCACTTATGCATGTGAGGTGGATTCTCTAATCTCTGTGTGATATGCTCCACCAAAATGGATCACACATTTATGCATCCGCTTGAGCAATGCCTCCATTCCACTCAAATGCCATAAACTGATTACTGAAATATTCATAGTCGGAAATTCAATTTAGCGAATATGAAAATTGAACATTTTGAAATGTGACGCAATTTGACGAACATTAACTCGATGTGCGTGTGCATATCAGTCGGAAATGAGGTGAATATCATTTGAATGAATTAGAACGCCATTCATTCTCTTGTTATCGTTCATGATTTGCTGAATATGCATATTTTGACGTAATGTTTCCCATGTTAATAAATAAATACTGACATTATTTGACAAATATGCACCAAATGGCATGGAGAAAAAATGTGTGCCAACAAAAATGTGTTTTCGTTCATTTAAGAACTCTTTTTGATATGGATTCCATTCGACATTCTTCACCGAATTCGGTTCACTCCGTTTTGCGCATTCAAGCAAAGTCCTGACTCAAGACACTTGAATGACATATTCATATTTCGTTCAAACGTCCAAAGTATATGCACAAATATTTTTCTAAAATAAAAACCTAACTTTCATGCAAAAATATACACTGTAAACATGAAACCATAAATAAATTGCAAAATGAAGAAAAAATCGCAACATTTCCGAAGGTATTATTGCTATACGGTACAATAAGGTAGTGATCAACGTTTTAACCGATTATTTTGTAATTTTCTCGAGCGCATCCATTCTTTTTTCCCTTACAATCCCTGCTCACTTTCACAGCAACGCCAGAAAAACCGGGGCGCATAATTTAGCATTGCGTGGAATTTCAAGGACAAATGGCGATTATCTCATGTTTAATTTATTTGTCGGAAGTGGAATTCCCCTGGATGTAGTTTCTCCGGATTCATGCGAGTAAAGTGCATTCTGGGCCATTTTGTGTATGCAAAAGCACGCTCTTATTTTGGGATCAACAAGATGAGCAAAACATGCAAGTGTGGGGAGTTTTGCAATCACACGGTGCCGCTATCAATATTAAACTATATAATCTCGTTCACATTGGCTGCTGCCATTTTAATAAATGTCTACTTACGTCTTCAGCTTCTAAGCCACCCGGAATAGTGGTACCGTCCTTTGAGCAAAAACAATATGGTAATGTGCATTCAGCTGGGTCGCATTTTTTCGCTAAATCGACTGGTGCTTCGGTGATTGGTGCCGGTGCTATGTGTGTTCAACGGAACAAAGAAGGTAGAGAGAGAGAGAGAAAAAAAAAGAAAAAAACGGAATGGCATTAGCGGAAAAAAGAAAATACAACTAGGAGGAAAAAAATAGTAGAGCACATTCTTGAAATAAAAAAAAAAACGGTAATGGAAAAAAGCTCTAAAACAAACACTCGCACACGAATGTTGTCGGTGAGAAATGTGCAGTTTAAATATTTTTCTAGGTTCACAAAGTCGTTACGAAGACGCACATACTTAGCGTTTGGCTCTCGATTGTACGACTTTTTTTTCGTGTTTCTTTCTCCGGTCGCCTCGTTTGCCAAATGGTTTTTTCTTCTTCGGCGATGCTATGTGCATAGCTTGCTTGAGTAGATTAAATTCAAATTGAGTCCTTACTTCGAAGTGAGGCGAAAAAAAAGACAACATGAACGAATAAAAATACTTAAATACCTACTAACTCACATGTGAAGTTATAAATCGTCTATTTGTGTTAGTCTCCGAGTGCTTTTTATTTCTGCTTAGTTTTTGTGAACAGAGAGTAAGATCAAGCGCGCGAGAGCGAAATAGAAAGTGTAATAACGAGAAAAAAACAGAGCAATTGGAAATTCTGTTTTGCTGAGATTGTCATTTCTCTAATACTGAGAAATGGCATCACAGGTTCATTTCAAGCACATTTCATTGCTTGCGATTCTTTTTCCACCGTTCATATGACTTACGATGGATACATAAAATAAGCTTGAACACGGAAAATAAATTCCATTAACAAACGGGAAAGAAGTACATATCGTAATTTTGAAAAAAAAAAAATGCAAATAACATTTGCGTTTTCATCACCCACCACATAAAGTGCGATTTTTTTAACCACAATTTAGACACACTTGCATCACAATTCAAACGAGATCAATTTGTGCAAGCAGTTTAAAGTATCTCGGTTATTATTTTTCTCAAACATATTTATTTATCATGTCACAGCATCTATTGACATGATTCGATTATATTGATTTGTCAGTTTTAAAATTAAATTTTAGATTATGTGTTCCAGTAACCAATTGAAACGTATCGTGAAGGGATTATGCAAACCAACCGCATAACTTGATATGAAAATATTTGTCCAGATGATGCCAAGTAGCATATCTACTGTGCAGCACATGATTCTTATCTATGTTCTTTACACAATGCATGGTACACTGACCCGCCCTCCCAACGGACAATCCACATCTTTAGATCAATTTAAATCTCAGTGAGCTTTAAATTGGATTTTCATTTCATAAAAGTGTGTCGATTGATTGTCTGACTCGATTCGATATATCGGTAAGTAGATATAAGCACATCCGATTGCTGAACGCCAATTAAGTCATTGAATCAACAGCAATATTAGAATAATAGATCAAATAATGAGGTTTTTCATCGAATTTCACCTCAATAGATTCGATTAAATCGGAATGAACATCAAGTGTTTCCAAACCACATTCAAATTAGAGGAATCATGAAATCAAACGCAATTCCATGGGTGTCATGTATTGAACGCTTCATTTGATTCAATACTAAATCGGCATGCAATTGTGCTTACAAATAATTTCCACTGAATATTGAGGTTAGTATTTATTGTAGCGGCTGTGCGGGTGTCATTTGGTGAAAATCACTATAATTGAGATACTAAGTGGTTATAATGTCTACACATCGACTTTTGGGCTTTTCTATTTATATGGGTGGCACGGTCAATGCCATAAATATCATCAAATGATTATAAACCTGCTTCATGCGAGCAAATGCGGTGGTATGAGTATAATGAAAGCAGAGATAAAAAGGAAACAGCAGCAATAATCCTCTCTCATCGTTTCGGCCATAATAAGCTTTAATGCTTCCGATTGCCGATATTAATTACGTGGCTCGTAAGGCGTCACACCATCATGACAATGTGGTCATTTTGAAGACGATCTCCGGTTTCACATGAACCATATTATATACATTGGAGACGATAGTCTCAACATAATTACTTTGGTACAGAGCGCGTATCAACTTCGGCCAGTAAGAGGCGAAAATAATTCAACCGGTCATAAAAAATAATTAAATTTTTGTCACACACTCCGAATCTGTCTGCTGTTTGGTGATTTGTACGTGTGCCCATTTGCTCGATGGTCGGGTATGTCATCATTATTATTGGTGTTTTGGTCATTCAGGAGTGCATCATATGAGCGGTTTTTGTTCATCATAAACTCATAAATGAATAACGGAAGTAAGTGGTTTTACTCGAAATGAATGAGGGCAAAAACGAAAATGCCACACAGCATCAATGTCAGAGGCGACAAGCCAAACAAAGCACAGCAAAAAGTGAGTGTGTAGGGAAAAAGGGAAAAAATGGCCGACTTTTTGTGAGATGCTTATACATATATTGAGCCATGCATGAGATTGCTTCAATAGCACGGAAAAATTGTACAAATTAAGACACAAAAAAATAGTTACGTATAAAAGAAGTTGACTTTTAGTGATAAGGGCGTAGTGTTGGCCAAACACATTCGTTCGTTCGGAAAGTTAAAAAAAAATTATTTTGTTCGTTCGTGAAATTGAAAAAAATGTTTTCGTTCGTTCGTTCGGAGAATCAGAAAAAAAATGTTCGTTCGTTCGTTCGTTCGTTCGAATGATATGCTGCGGTCGAACATGTTCGGATTTTATTGAATCAAAATATTGGAACATTTCTTTTTTATGCAAAACTATTATACAAATCATTCATCTAAATAATTTAAAGAAAGTTCATAAGACCATTTCGTGCTAGAATTTTTTTCTTTTTTATGTGATTCGTTTCGGATTGTAAGTATTTCCAATGAGGCAAATTAAGTGACACGCACAAGAATAGCGCCATCTACAATCGTTAGAAGAAAGTTATGATGCTTACGGTCAAGCTTCAAAACATTAAAAAAAACGTTCAAACGATCAAACGTTCAGACGTTAGAAACGCTTGATCCATCCGTCAAATTGGAATGTTGCAATTGCTTTTATTTCTGATTCGGTTTAGTGAGTCATAAGAATATGCATTTTCCCTTGATTGAGAAAAACTCGAACTAAATTTTGTTTAACTTCGTAATAAAAAATAGTACAATTCAAAAACGGTAGATACTTCAATCCTATAGCTGTCAAAGTCAGTGGTGATGGCGCGTACTTTGGAATTTCAAATTTTCGAATTGCAGACTTTATTTTATGTATAATTATGCGTAAAGAACAACATTTTTACATTGAATGAAAATAAAAGTAAGCAAAAAATGCTATAATAAACCAATGTATATTTCAGTAATTTTGACTTTTGTTGAGTTCATTTCGAACATTGACTAAAGGCTAACACCTGAATCAATGCTAGAATTTGTAGTTCTAACGCCCAAACCATAAGTATCCGATTGATAAGGTAAAAAAGGAAATTCATAAGAAATCAATGATTATTTCAGTTTATTTCTATAATTCTGATTTTTATTGGATTCACAACAATTATTGATATGCGACTAACGACTTACTCGATAAACCATATCTATGACTCATTAAACCGAAACTAAGGAAATTCATTGGAAGAATTTGTAGTGCTAACGCCCAAGGCATAAATCTCCCATGGTTTTTTCGAATATGTTTTATATAAAAATATAAACCTGAGTTTTTAATGAGTTTGTCTCATGAAAATAATTTGGTCAAATAAAAATTTTCTTCAAATTAATGAGAAAAAAATGCGCAGTATGAAATATTTTGATTGAGTCGGTGCAATCATAGAGCCGCTAAACTTTGGAGGTTAGGTTGCCGTTCTTTTGCGGCATGAAAAATTTATCGTTGGTATTGTTTAGATCACAAACATTTTCATGTTTGATTACCACAAACAGCACTTACAACATATTTTGTGCATCTTTTTCACACAATTTTCATCGCATACTTGCAAAAATGATAGAATACCATAAAATTCATTTCTTCATTTGTTAAACGTCATTGAAAACCGTGGTTTACTGAGTCAGTCAGCATCACCGTAGTTTTAACAGATTAAAATCCATGTCTGGAATTATTATTATGCCACAGGATTGTTTAATTTATGAAAACATTACTATATAAATATTGTTCGCGAGTGGAAACATCATTTACGTTATAACCCCGTAAATATTTCAATGTTTCACTGACAGCTGTCGTCGAATGTAAACATACGTGAAGTTGCTAACGTTCATTCAATAGCTTTACCCAAAGCACTAAAACTTGAACTTTTGTACACAAGTGAAGTGACTAAGTAATAGTTTCAATTTTAAATTTTTCTCTACAATATTAAAATATTAATCTCACACAAATTAAAAGTTTCTACACATTTATCTATCAATTTTTATTTTTTACACTTTTTAAGTGAATATTCGCTAATAAAAAAAGAACTATCTATTGGAATAATTCCATTACGATGTTAGATGGCGCTATTAGTTGTGACATAAATGCTTTACGTATATCACATACAGCTAGTTTGCATCATTGGTATTTCTTTACGTGTGTGTTCATTGGAATTTCAAACTAATTGAAGACCTGTATATATTTCTATGGAAAGTGTTACTGAGTATGGATATGATTTTGCATGAGATTCGCTTATAATTTTTTAAGGGAATGCGTAGATTTGTATCAATATCATCGTATGCTACCTATACCTTATTGAGTGATGTAAAGTAAATGTGATGCCGTATATCCTCGCATCAACTAAC